TGATCCCTAGCATCACAAAAAAATTAAAAGAGTAAGTAATCTTTCCAGCACAACACATACTCTCTTGAGCATTTTTCCTCTTTATCCTTCAAACTCATGTCCAGGTACTGAAGGAAACTTTTTCAGTTGGATTTTTAGCCTTCCTTCCCTTTTATCATTACATTATGTTTTAGTATATAATCTTTGGAGATAAGTTAGATAGAAGGGCAAGCACGCCTAACCTCAGAAATGCCTAAGTTCTTCTAAATCCACTTTGCACTCTCTCCAGAGGTCTCTGCAGAGCTCTGCCCCAGTCTTTTAATTTAAGACAGTGTATCCTTCTCAGAGGCTCTTGCATTGAGGGTAAATAAAACAATATTCAATTTTATTGACTTTGTTTTGCTTAATTATTTTCAATAGATTTTTTTTTGTGTGCCTCTTTTCACAATAAAGGTTTAGTTCTAAGCCAAATCATACAAAAAGTAGGCTTTGTAGGATCATGTGGGAGCCTAGCCACCATTTATAATTTTGTTTGAGAAAATGTACTCACATTTCTGAAAAACAACTACACATGACAGGTGAGATAGGGTGCAGTCTATTCGAGGAGGCCTCAGCAGCCTCAGTGGGTCTGGAGTCAGTGCGTCTTTGTGTTGGTTTTGGTCACTCTTTGGTTGTTCTTTTCATGTGCTTCATTTTGGGAAGAGCTGATGAGAGATGAGGTAAGCAAATACTAGATTATGAGTGATATTTTATGGCATATTTATTATGTCTACCTGTGTAGTTTTTCCTACTTCTAAATACTTCAGGTTGTATTTCCTACAAATAAATGAATTGATTGAAATGTATTTTGAGGGTAATTGAGAGCCATTGAAAGTTTTCAAGAGCAAAACAGTGAGATACAGTGAAGTAGTGGCAGGAAATTGGTCTGAATTGTGAAGATACTGGCAATTTAGATTTAATTCCTCAAGTGGAGGAAGTCATTAGTTAGGTGGATTTGGGGAGTCTCAGTATGAATTAAGATGATATTTGAAGTTTTTTGAATAGACGACAGTGAATAGTAGAGATTAAGGTGGAGAGTTAGGGAGGAATGGAATTACCAAGAAGATTCTGCAGTAGGAGGGGTGGCAGTAGAAGGGATAGGAAGAAAAACAAGAGAGGAAGGACTGTAATATCACCTGCAAGGGAGGAGGGAGTCTTAAAAGGTGGGTGGAGTTACCTTACTAGATAAGTAGAAGGGAGCTACAGTACTGAGCCACTCAGAGTTCATAGGGGCTCTAGTATTTTAAATGGGTGGCGAAGTTCAAATTGAAAACCTATAAATTGAGGCATAAATGAGTAAGAGAGAAAGAAATAGGCATGCTGAGGACAGGAAGTATTTTTAAGTAATCTGTTGGGTAAGGGTGTGAGAGGGAATATTCTTAAGAGTGATACAGCATGTCTATAATCCCAGCTACTCAGGAGGTAGAGATCTGGAGGATTTCTGTTCAGGCCAGCAAAACTTAGTAAGACCGCCCCCCATCTCAAACATCAAGATAAGTGTCGTGTCTCATGCTATAATCCCAGCTACTGGGAGCCATAAGTAGGAGGATCGCTGTTGGAGGCTGAACCCAGACAAAATTTTAAGACCCTACCTGAAAAATCACTAAAGCAGAACAATGGCTGGGGACATGCTTAAGTGATAGAGCACCTGTCTACCCAAGGTGAGGCCCTGAGTTCAGACTCCAGTACTGCTAAATGAATAAATAAATTAAATTTAAAAAAAAGAATGAAATGGATAGAAGGAAAATATTTCAAAAATAAAGATGATATGACACATTTAGGTTAAGGGGAAGGAATGAGAGTGGGGGAGAAGAATAAGACATATTCTGAGAGTCAGAAGAAAAAATTTATGGTCACATAAATTTCTGGAAGTGAGAGGGAGGGGGTTGGGTTGGCCATTGGGTCCTGTTTCTTCACTGTCCTGTCAGAGGAGGGTAGGTGGGCTGAAAGTACCATGAAGTTGAGGATGGAGGAGGCAAGAGATGAGCACATGCGTTTCTCTGAGGGGACCTGTGGAGGAGTACACAGCCTCACCCTTACAGTAGTGAAGAATGAGAGAAGGAGCCAGCTAGGGAGGAAGAAAAAGAAAAACATGGCATACCTGAAAAGTGTGATGTGAGAAATGAAGTATACCAGGCAGGAAAGAGCACATTACTGAAGGGAAATGGGCTCGTTTGTTATTTTCAGTGTTTTCGTAGGATTGTACAGTGAACATATATTACCTTTATAACAAAAAGTAGCAGTTGTCATTTTCATTTTCCTACAGGGGTCAGGTTTTTAAAATTCAACTTCTTGGGGCATTTTTAATCATTTCTTTTTTTTTTTTTTTTGTACTTTTAATGTGAATTTAATAACAGTCATTTATTTAGTGGCCTTTCTGTGCCAGGTGCTTTCCATGCAGGACTTTATTTAATCTTTTTTTTTTTTCATTTTTCTTTTATTATTCATATGTGCATACAAGGCTTGGTTCATTTCTCCCCCCTGCCCCCACCCCCTCCCTTACCACCCACTCCCCCCCTCCCTCTCCCCCCCTCAATACCCAGCAGAAACTATTTTGCCCTTATTTCTAATTTTGTTGTAGAGAGAGTATAAGCAATAATAGGAAGGAACAAGGGTTTTTGCTGGTTGAGATAAGGATAGCTATACAGGGAGTTGACTCACATTGATTTCCTGTGCGTGGGTGTTACCTTCTAGGTTAATTCTTTTTGATCTAACCTTTTCTCTAGTTCCTGTCCCCTTTTCCTATTGGCCTCAGTTGCTTTTAAGGTATCTGCTTTAGTTTCTCTGCGTTAAGGGCAACAAATGCTAGCTAGTTTTTTAGGTGTCTTACCTATCCTCACCCCTCCCTTGTGTGCTCTCGCTTTTATCATGTGCTCAAAGTCCAATCCCTTGTTGTGTTTGCCCTTGATCTAATGTCCACATATGAGGGAGAACATACGATTTTTGGTCTTTTGGGCCAGGCTAACCTCACTCAGAATGATGTTCTCCAATTCCATCCATTTACCAGCGAATGATAACATTTCGTTCTTCTTCATGGCTGCATAAAATTCCATTGTGTATAGATACCACATTTTCTTAATCCATTCGTCAGTGTGGGGCATCTTGGCTGTTTCCATAACTTGGCTATTGTGAATAGTGCCGCAATAAACATGAGATGAATGTTCTCAATTCCATCCATTTTACCAGTAATGATAACATTTTGTTCCTTTCTTCATTGGCTTGCAGAATAAATCCATTGTTGTATAGATACCACATTTTCTTAATCCATTCGTCAGTGGTGGGGCATCTTGGCTGTTTCCATAACTTGGCTATTGTGAATAGTGCGCAATAAACATGGATGTGCAGTGTGCCTCTGAGTAACAGTCTTTTGGGATATCCCCAAGAGTGTATTGCTGGATCAAATGGTAGATCATGTCCAGCTTTTTAAGTAGCCTCCAAAATTTTTTTCCAGAGTGGTTGTACTAGTCTACATTCCACCAACAGTGTAAGAGGGTTCCTTTTTCCCCATCCTCCAACACCTGTTGGGTGGTGTTGCTGATGATGGCTATTCTAACAGGGGTGAGGTGGAATCTTAGTGTGGTTTAATTTGCATTTCCTTTATTGCTGAAGATGGTGAGCATTTTTTCATGTGTTTTCTGGCCATTTGAATTTTTTCTTTGAGAAAGTTCTGTTTAGTTCATGCCCATTTCTTTATTGGTTCATTAGTTTTGGGAGAATTTAGTTTTTTAAGTTCCCTGTATATCTGGTTATCAGTCTTTGTCTGATGTATAGTTGGCAAATATTTTCTCCCATCTGTGGGTGTTCTCTTCAGTTTAGGACCATTCTTTTGATGAACAGAAGCTTTTTAGTTTATGTGGTCTTTATCTATGCTATCTCTTAGTTGCTGTGCTGCGGGGTTTCATTGAGAAAGTTCTTACCTATACCTACTAATCCAGAGTATTTCCTACTCTTTCTGTATCACTTAAGAGTTTGGGTCTGATATTAAGATCCTTGATCCATTTTGAGTTAATCTTGGTGTAGGGTGATATACATGGATCTAGTTTCAGTTTTTTGCAGACTGCTAACCAGTTTTCCCAGCAGTTTTTGTTGAAGAGGCTGCTATTTCTCCATCGTATATTTTTAGCTCCTTTATTAATCATTTCTTGTGCACATTATTGTAATATCAGGTCTTTAAAACTGTGGAAAGTGCATTGAACTCAGTAGTTAGCAAGTGTATGGTCCTGGCCAGCCTCAGCAGTTCCCAAGTCGTAGTTCCCAGTGTGTCCTTGTTTTATAAGATATCTTTCCGCCTACCTTACACCATGGGAAGAATCTATATTGCGATAATTTAAGAGAAAGTACTTAGTAAACTACTATGTACTAGTAATTGTCATGCTATATATATCCTATTATACTAATAATAACATGGTGTAACTTATAAATAGTACAATTAGCAGTTGGTGAGGTTTTCTAGGGATTTCTTCCTTTTAATTTTTTTTCTTCATGCAGTCTTTAATAATTATCAGTTTATTTTGTTAAATACATGTTAGATCTAGCTTTCCCAAAAGATTATGTTTCCTTAGGGCACCGATCTTATATTTTATTTAACACTTAGACTGTGTACCCTGTAGGCATCCATGAATGCCTCTTAATTGACTGACATAATATAATACACTGAAGCTTTCCTCTAAGAAATTTACTCATAGTTCTGAATAATATTAAGTGATGGTAGAGTTCATTGTTTTTTTTTGTTTGTTTGTTTGTTTTTTGTAAGAACACCAAAGAATTAGCCATATAGGTATCATGCTATCCTGTTTCACCATATAACAAGTAAGATTTTAGGCATTGGATCTCTAGTTCTGTCTTACTGTAACAATACAGTAAGGAATTGTAGAAACTTGAATTTTACTTATAAGGAAGAAGAACTTAAATTTTAAGGAAAAAAAGTAAAGGATGTTACTTGTATTCATTGCATGAACTAGATGTCACTTTTCTTCCTTTAGGATTCTGTTGCAAAGCCCCATGTGATTGTTGCAGGAGCTGCCACAGTAAGTTCTCATCTAACAAAATGCTTTTTGCTTCACACCTAGGGACATGTGAAGAAAAAGTTGATTTATGTTAAATACAATTCTTGATTATATTTATATTTTAATTCCTATTTGTATCATAATTAATCAGACTGGTGAATTTTAATAAACAGGGCTGAGTAAACTTAGTAAACTTAATATTAAATCTCACTATTACGTCTAGAATTGTATTCTTGAATGTTATATATTGAAAGTTGAATTTTATAATAGCTTTCTGTAACTGCCTTCAAATTTTACTCTAATATTAACTAAAAACAGAAATTAAGTTGAAACAATAACCCTTGTTACAGTAGGTAAATTATATACTTTAATGCCTCTAGCATTTTTCTGTGATAAATGCTGAATTAATGTTTAATTTTTACTTCTTAGTGGTCCATCAAGATTCACAATGGTAGCAATGAAGCACTTTCTCAATACAAAATGAACATTACCTCTATAGCACCACTTCTAGAAAAATTGGCAAAGACTAGTGATGTTTATTGGGTCTTACAAGGTAAGAACTGAGTAATGAAAAAATGTCATTTTGTATATATTTTAAGGCGTAGGTTTTATTAGTTCTTGTTTCAGGAAACAAAATTACTGCATTCTGAGAATAAATTTTGAAATAAGGTTTGCAAGATTAGAATAAACTAGAGTTACTTGCTTTTTTTTTTTAATTTAAGGAGCAGTCTAATAATATAATAAGTATAAAATAAATTTTAAAAAAATCTTCCAAGAAATCTCAGCAGGAAAAATGGCTGTGAAATGTAACAAAGAGATAAATCCTGAATCAGGCAAATGAGATGTTTATCTGTGATTTAAAAAATCTTTTACAAAGTATATTTATTGTGATTGGGAAGTGCAGAGAAAGATATTAATAACTCTTTCCTAATATTAGAATCACTGGGAGTAAACACACTTTCAAACTGACCGAGTATATTTAAATTCACACCAACTAGTTATCTTGGTAATGAAATTCCTTAAAAGAAGTAGACATTAGGCTACCTCATTTTGGGAATTTATTAAGTGTCCATACTTAATGCCTAACGCAGTATGTAATGCCTTGGATATTTTAGCAATTCAAGTTGTTTGTCAGAAACTTATGATTACTTCTAAGTTGAGTCTCAAGGTGACAGGAATAAGGGGAGTGATGATCTGTTCCACAATTCTTGTTTTATTCACAGACTTGTACTTAACTTTGCTATCACTAAAATTAGAAAAAATTCAATTTCTATTATTCATAGCAGTGATAAGTATGAACAGACCTGGATCCTGAATATTACCTCTGAGCTGTATGAGCAGAGTTTGCAAAATTAGGCAGTGACCAAAGAAAAAGGATCGTGGGTTCCACGAATAGGGATTTTTAAAATTTGTTTTTAAAAATGTGTTTCATATACAGATCCTGTTTATGAAGATCTATTAAGCGATAACAGGAAAATGATCACTAATGAGAAGATAGATGCCTACAATGAAGCTGCAGTCAGTATTTTGAATAGTAGCACCAAAATTCTAAGTCAAATGTTAAGATGTTCAGTGTCTCCAAATTAATTGCTCAAGAAACCATTATGGAATCTTTGGATGGCTTACATCTTCCCGAATCAAGCCGAGAAACTGTAAGAACTCTCATTTTTGTCAGTAGATGGAGACCCTGATTTCTTTTGGTTATAGCCATAAGTTGTATTGCATGGTTATAAATAGTTTTGTTTTATTGTAGTCTTAATTGCTCAGTTATTCTATCTGAACATACATCTGAAAATAATTTTGCTTTCTCTCATCTAGCTAACTAAACATATAAGAAGTAAGAGTTTTAGTTTATTCTAAGAGAAGAAGCAATGGAAGGGAGAAAGTGAAACTTTGAGTGCTAATCACTGTTAATGTGCTAATGATAAGAGCTCTGAAGTTCTTAGTTCCCTCATTTGAAAAGTACTGCTTTATGTTCTCTTTGCCTTAAACCTTAAGCTTACAAGATTAAACTTCAGTGAAGAGCACGTATTTTAATATATAAAATAATTTCTATGTCCTTATAGTTCTTATACCCTGAGCATTATTCAAGGTGCAGAGTAGATAGATACTGGTTGACTGATAGAAAGGAATTTATATTAAGTGTCAAAGAACTTCATAATTAGAACATTCATATGTCATAGAGGCTCAAAGGAGCCCTTTGGATATTTGATTAAAAAGCAGTGGTTCCATTCCTTTCTTGCAGAAAGATGCATATATTCGCATACATACACGGTTCTCCATGTACTATAAGGGACTTTGTGGACTCCCTGGAAGATGACTAAGATACTTACGATGAAACTTGTAGGCCAGGATCTGTAAGAATGCTGCTAGGCATAGGACTTCCTGAAGTCTCAGGGCTAAAAGGATGAGCTTTCCTAAACATTAGAGTACTTTGAAAGTTCAGGTGTAAATTATATAATCATAGAGTGTTCTGCAGATACCTAAACAGTAAAGTTTTCATAAGGTTAGAGATAGACTGAACCTTCAACTCAACAAATATTGATAGCTTGCCTAGAATAATTTTATTATAATCAAACCATTTCAAAGATCCCATCTTTTATTTAATGTTAGAAATCTCAAAATGATAGTCCTAAATGATCTATAAGTTATGATCCAAATAAAAGGCATATCACAAATACTCTTTTTTCACATCTAAAGAGTGGTATTCTGGCATCTTCTGTTTCGAAAGTCTTTGGTCCTTGACAGCTTTTGGTATTTTTTAAAACTAAGGTCACAGTCCATTAGTAGCCATAAAACCCATGGGTTTTTATTTATTAATTAATTTATTTATTATTAAAGAAAAGACCATATTAAAGTGCATTCCAAGTAGTAAGGATGGGTATTGTTTCCTATAAATGTTTCCTGGTCACATTATAAAGCACATAGGTCATAGCCCCAGAAGTTTAAAACACCCTGAACTAGCTGTTGCAGATTGAAGGAACACCATTGTTTGCACAAGTGTTTGGGAAATGGTTGCAAAAAAGTACAAAAGCAGTTTGTTTCAGTGTTGAAAACTTAACAATATTCACAGGGAAGATCAAATGTGAAATACATCACTGATAAGATAATAACCAAATAACTTGATTTGTTCACAGAGTGCAATGATTCTTATGAACGTGTATTGCAATAAGATTTTGAAGCCTGTAGATGGTTCCTGTTGTCAACCTCGGCCTCCTCTTACTCTCATACAGAAGCTAGCTGCTTGTTTTTTCACTTTATCTATTATTGGATACTTAATTTTTTATATAATTCATCGTAATGCTCATCGGAAGAATAAACCTTGTACTGATTTGGAAAGTGGAGAGGAAAAGAAAAATATTATCAATACCCCCGTGTCTCCATTAGAAATACTTTTGCAGTCTTTCTGCAAACTTGGCCTAATCATGGCTTATTTCTATATGTGTGATCGTGCAAATCTGTTTATGAAGGAAAACAAATTTTATACACATTCATCTTTCTTTATTCCAATTATTTACATCTTGGTTTTGGGAGTATTTTACAATGAAAGTACTAAAGAGGTAAGAATCAATTTCATTTTAGCTTATGTTATCCTTCTTATCTCATTACAAAAATCTAAATTAAGGATTTAGTAATCTAAATTATATTGTACCAGAATATACAAACATGTCAGTAGACAGGGGATGAAGGAATCTTATAGTTACATTCACTTAAGTGTTGCTTTTTAAAAACAGTTTAGAAGAAATTCCCAGGGCCAAGAGAAGATTGTTAAAAAGTTGAAAAGTATGACTTAGTATTGTACTGCGGGCTCAGGGATGGAGAAAGTGGGAACACGCCTGATTTTATATGCTCTTCATGTACCAGATACTATGTAATACCTTTTTACAGTAAAAAAATATATAATTACATTAACAAATGCCTATGTGCACAAACATATTTTATATTTATATATTTATCAGACATACATGCACACAAGTTAGAACTATGTAATGATGAGGCCACTATACCTGATATTCTGAATTGCCTAATTTAAAATTGATGTCATTGCTCAGAATATTTGTATAACTTCTTTACAAGGCATGACTTATTTGAATTAACAATGACTGTTGTAAAAAATAACTCTCATATGAGGATGATTAATCAGTTCTTCATCTCCAATGAGAATATGCTAGGGAAAATAGACTATAATAGAGTTTTTTCTGTCAATAAAGTGTAAGAGAACTATAAGATCTTTTTTTAACTCTGAAATTCTAAAATTTTTTAATTATAGAATGGTATTTTTGAGATCTATAAATACATCTGACATAGTTTAAATGTCATTTTAATATAAAACTGTAAGGATCAATTGAATTCCTCAAAATCCCTTTACCTTATAGTTGTTTTTCAAATGCATATTATACTTAAAATAGCTAGTATATCTTTTGGCAAGAAACAAAATGACAGTTCTTTGACTCACCCCTAAGATTCTTTTGACAGAAGCATTAGCTTGATATACTGTAAGAAAAATTTTAACATACTTAATATATACTGTCTAAATAATTACTTCCTGATGGATTCTAAAACAGATTGTGATTCCTTTATTCAGACTAAAGTATTAAACAGAGAACAAACAGATGAATGGAAAGGCTGGATGCAACTTGTGATTTTGATTTATCACATCTCTGGAGCAAGTACAGTAAGTAATCTGAATTTAAGTTAAAAAATATAGGAAATGTCACTTTTGTGTTTCTTTAAGAGCACTCTTCTATATTTTCTACTGGTTAGAGACCCTTCTTATTTCCCATTAAATCTTTCTGCCTTCTTCTTGTCCCTAACTCTGTGAGAATCTATAATTTTAAAAGCAAAAGGATTTATTTGGCCTTAATGATAATGCAGAGTTATCAAAAAACTGTAGATGACAAAGGATTTAGAGTAGGCAAGTTACTCTCCAAAAAAATCAAAGTAGATTGTTAACAGTTTATATTCTAACCTTCACTGTGTTTTAGGAAGTTTGATCAACTACTTTTATACTTTTAACATTTAAAAAGCTTGCAACTCTCTTGCCCAGTGTTTAGAGAATACAAACACAGGTGCATTGCCATTGTAGACTACATAGGGTATACCATACTTCCTAAGTAATTCTTCCTCCATTCTGTGGAGGGTACTTCCTGTGGTCACCCAGTGCCTTCTGTACCTAGGCAAAGTTCTTTTTCTTTTTTCCTCTCCCTGGGATTTTCATGATCTGTGGCTACCTTGGATATGGTAAGGTTTGGAAAAATATATTGGTTCTGAAATGTAACATTTAGCTACATGTAACATTTTACTGCATTAGCAATAAAAACCAGCTTTTGTAGGTGAGCCTAACTTTTCACAAGCTTTTATAGTAAAGATTGAAGTTGACTTTTTCTAAAATATATGATTTAAAAATTTAAGTTAGAAACTCATTCATAATTTGGGAAGTACCAAACTGTTTTACTACTTACTTGCTTATATAAAATAAAGTACATGTTCATAACTTCCATAAGCAGTATTAGAATGAGTGATAAATTGAAATAAGAGTGGAGTACCTAGAAAGGAATATTTTGAAAATTCTATAGCAGTAATTAAGAAAATAAATGTTATTATTTTTGTTTTAGGTATTTCTAAAAATTTGAAAATAATCTTTGTTGTCTGTTATCTTAAAAAATTGTTGGTGATTTTCTGGATGGTTTAAAGGGTGGAAGGCAAAGCAATGAAGTATACTTTTTACCAAAATTATATGGCTATGATATGTATATTTGTGGTAACAGTAGAATTTCTGTGTTTACTACAGCTCTGAATTTGAGCTGGAACAAGTGAATTTGAGTTGATGTATTTGAGCCAAGACAGTATATAAGAGATGTGAGGTGGAGATGGAGACGGTAAGACTTAGTTTATAAGCCTACCTCCAAATTTATAGCATTAAACACATAGGTTCTCTAAGAATTAAACAGAGATGAATATTGAATCCAGAAATATTTCTGACCTACAAGTAAAAAACCAAATTAATTTTTTGGGAAAAAATATTTTGTTTTAAGAAAATACCATTCAGAGACATAATTAATTGCTGACCTATTAAAGGATGATATTTTTATTAAAAAATAGGTAGGAAGAATTAATGGCAGATTAAGTTTCGCAATTCAGTGATTTCAGAAAGAATTTATTTCATAAGAGGATGAAGGCAATTTGGCATTCTATTATAATCATTTACCAACCTAACATTCTAATGCATCTTCTTGGACTACATTCCAATTCATTCTCATTTGCAGTTTAGAAAAAAATAATGCCTGTTCTGGAAGGACATACTTTGCATTAATAGATTGTTTGTAATGATTAATTAATACACTCATCTTCTGCTGTTATGTAGGATTTTGTCATTAAAAATCACCTATATCTACATTGACAAAGCATTGTTAGTATGGTTTATAACATATATCAGGATGTGGGGAGTTGAGAGACTAATCTCACCAAACACTTTTTAACTGTCGTGATTATTTTACTTATCACAATGTTTGAATAAAATCTGTCAAACTTTAGTTTTGCCATGTTTTACGCTAAAAGAGAAACTAAGTTAAAATTTCCAGAGAATTACTAAAATAACCCAGATGGTTTGGCAGGTTGTAATTGTTGGCATAAACATTCTTTTAGAATAAAATTTATGTCAAATACTTTTAAAATGCTGTGAACATAATATGGAGAGAGAGCAAGTTTCATATATACAGTAGATCCTTTTGTGTTCACTTGTAGTTGAGAGTTTTGTGAAGAGACCTGAATGAAAGGTTGTGAGGGAAAACTTGGGGACTAGAAAAAGAATAGAACCAGAAGTCAGCCTAGCTCTTAAATGTAAGGAAGCTAGAATTTCAAATGTATTTGCAAAAGTACAATTTTGTTTTAAATAATACTTAACTGGTGAAAGACAAAAAGTCTTGGATTAAAGCAAGACTAAGAACATCTAAATGCAGTGTGTGATCCTTGATTCAAGGTTGCTAGATGAAAAGCTTTTTTTTTTATTTTCAGTGCTGGGCATTGAGCCCAGGGCCTTGTACATTTTTAGCAAATGCTGTACCACTGAGCTACATCCCCATCCCTTGGTTTTCTGAGACTGAGTGTCACTATAATGAAGGCTGGCCTTGAGCTCACTGTGTATCCCAGGCTGGCCTCAAACTTGTTATCCTCCTGCTTTCTGCCTCCTGAGTGCTGGGAATACACATGTATATCACCACACTTGGTACAAAAAGTTTTTTAAATTGTACAGTAGAATAATTGGAGTATTTAAGTGTGGGTTGTGTAATAGACACTATCATATTCAATTTCTTGAGTATGGGAATAATGTCATCTAAGAAACTGTCGTCTCTTCCTACCTTGTGCCGTTGCATGTCCTACGATGTAGTTCACATTTTTCAGCATGTTATATAGGTGTTCACTTTGCGGTCTTACAACTTTTCTGTTGGTTTAAAATATCTCACAGTAAAAAGTTAAGAGAAATATTACTTGAAATTTATAATAGGCCAACATTGGCCTGAACTTAGAAAATTGTTGTAATAGTATTTTCAGTTTAAGTGAGTTGTATTTACCATTTAGATATAATAACCAAGCTGAACTTCACAATCCCAGCCCTGTCTTAAAGGGATTTGAAAGCATGTTTTATGGAGAGTAGTGAAAGTAATTGGGAATGGTGATGGGAGGTTTGACATCTTTTTCAAATACTTGTAGAGCTATCAGATCTAAGAGAGATTTACCTGGGACATATGGACCTAGAGCTAGATTCTCCTCTCTGCTAGGCAGCAACTACAGGTCACTATGAAGCACTTTAATGCAGTGAGTGACAACTGAGATGTGCTGTATGTGTGAGATACATCCCAGATTGTTTGATTAATGGTAATAATAAGTTTAAGAACTTCACATAAAAAGAATGTAAAATACCTTCTTTACATGTTGAAATGATAATATTTTGGATATATTGAGTAAAATATGTTTATTAAAATTAGATTCATCTGTTTCTTTTAACTTTTTAAATGTTTTCAGTAGCCACATTAACAAATTACCCACATGGCTCCTATTTCATTTCTGCTGGACAGTGCTGCTGTAGAGGACTGAAATTACAGCTTTTATAGCTAGATTTCCACTTTTCATGAAAAGGAACTTAGCAGTTAATCACATCTGACAATGGACTGGCTTGTCCTGGGAGTCTGGATAGTTCCTGATACTAAAAACTGCTTATCAGGCATGGTGGCACAGGCCTGTAATCCACACACTTGGTGGGTGGAGGTGGGGGGGGAGTGGATGGTGAGTTGGAGGCCAGTCTGGGATACATAGTGAGGCACTGCCTTATGATAAGTAAGTAAGTAAGAAATAAAGTACTTAGATCTATGAAGAGGATATTTTAAACACTGCATGATATATAGATTGTTGAACTCAGATGAAGGAGAAATAACTTTCAGCTGACAGTAAACTTTTTTTTTTTTTTGGACGTGCTGCAATTGAACCCTGGGCTTTGCGCATGCTAAGCAAGTAATTGCCCTACCACCAAGCTACATCCCCAGGAGGTATTCAGGTTTTTAATCTGGTTCTGAAGAATAGGGTTTAAATAAGCAAAATTTGGTGAGGGGAAGAACGTGCTAAGGCTGAATAAACAGGAACAAAAGATAGTTGACGAGAAGCACAAAAAGGATCAGTTTAGGAGACAGAGAGTCTATCAGTTTGGTTAGAACAGAGGCTATGTAGAAGAGTTTCTGATCCATTGTTAAGTTCATCTTTTTTTCCTCTCAGAATATAATCCTTCAAAAAGAATGAGATGCGTTTCAGGATGCATGCAAAAGATACATCCAGCTCTGCCTTACATGATCTATTTTAAGGTGTCCCCTTAATTATTTTATCCTGCAAAGAATTGCTTAGGGAGGATACTTTAGCAGTGTTAATGCTTAATTGCAGAGGTAATCAGCTGGATTTTTTAAATGTAAGCCACAGAAAATTATCAATTGCAAGTACTGTATGGCACTGAACAAATCTTGTTTGTTTGTTTTTTGGTTGAACTCAGGACTTCATGCTTGCTAGGCAGGCGCTCTACCATTTAAGCCTCTCCACCAGCTCAAGCCTTTTAAAGATCATATTAAGAAGTGATGTAAGAGCCAGGCACAGTGATGAATGCCTTCAACCCCAGACTTGAGAAGCTAAAGCAAGAGAACCATGAGTTCACACCCAGCTTGGACTACATAGTGAGACCATGTCTCAAAAAAAAAAAAAAAGACAGAAAAAAGGTGTATCAGTGAGTGAGTGGTAGACAGGTGAAATGGTGAAAAATTAGTACTTATAAATAAGGAAGGATTTCTGGTGATTCTTAACATATGTAGATTTGAAATGTGTTGTATTTCAGCTTACAAGTGAGCATGTGATTCTTTGAAAAGTCATAGTAAATGATTCTAAGGAGATTGATCATGATGAAGACAGTGATGTAGGAATTTGTTCCATGAAGAAGAGTGGGATAGAAATATTTCTAAATTATGCTTGCATGTTTTCTAAATACGTATTTTTCCTAGGTATATTAAGTATTATAAGTAGCCATGTGACTATTTTATTTACAGTTTCTATTTTTAAGGGGAGCATAATGTGGGTGTTTGATTTTTTTTTTTTTACCTACTATTAGGAAAATATGATCTCCAGGGTAATCAGGATATATGGTGATTACTGATTACCACTATTGTGTATTGAATTCTCACTGGGGCAGTCTACCAAGTGCCTCCTGTTTCATCCACTCGTTGTAAGAACTATTTAATGAAGGAGGTGAAAGTCTCATTTTGTGGCTTTGAACACTCAAAAGTTATGTGGTTAGAAAGTAGCATAACTATAATTTTAATGTAGGTCTATCTGATTCCAAAAGTCTTTATTTTTATAATCCCTGCTATAATGCCTAACTTGTTGAATAAATCCTTTCACTGAACTAATGCCAAATGAAAATGATGATTTATTATTCTTTTTTAATGTACTTGTTATGATAATTCAGTATTTTATGCTGTGTATTTTACCTATTTTTGTTAACAGTTTTTGCCTGTGTACATGCACATTCGAGTTCTGGTTGCTGCATATCTATTTCAGACAGGATATGGGCATTTCTCATACTTTTGGATCAAAGGAGACTTTGGAATCCATAGAGTATGTCAGGTAGGACTGCATTCAGTTATTTTTTCTTTAAATTCAACATGCTTCTGTTTCTGTTGAGAAAATATGAATATACTCATTAAAAAACCATGAATAATTTGAATTTATGAAATAGCACTTTAAAGTTACATTTCTGTGTTCTTTAGTCATTTGAGATAATTTATTTTTGATAGAAAATATAATTCAGATCAATATATAATAAAACCACAGATACACAAGGAACAACATTATGTTGTTGATTCACTTTAGTTTTATAGAAATATACACAGTTACATAGAATTATTACAATATGCTACACTTTCTCTCTGTAAAGAAGGTTAATATTTACTAGCTTTCTACCTTGTGCTAAGTAGTTTTTAAACACTGTTTTATTTACCCTCTGTTGCAACCTTGAGTTATTTTATGTTTATAGAGATGGGAACTGAAGCTCAGAGAGGTTAAATAATCTGCCCAAGGTTACATAGTAAGTGGTAAAGCACTAATAAAAATCTGCCTAAATTTTATGTTTTTTGAATGACTTCAAACTGATATCTGAGATGATTGTAACAAAGGTCCCAGAGACATTTTTTAATATGAGTAATATTACTTTGTGTCTATGACAATTCTCAGTTTAATCCCAAATGGGTAAATCAACATCAAATGAGATGAAATGGACACCCTTTTCTTGAGGTAATCCAATCTCTGCTTATGAACTGGAGCCCTAGGAAGGAAGTTTGCCATTTTCCCCCACATTTAACAAGATGATAGTTGGAGCTAGAGGAAAGCTCAGGCTGGTATTTCACTGGGATTTAATATAATAATAACATAAATATTTTATATTCAGCTCTTTATAGTGATTGTAGGATGAATATAAATAGGGATTAATAAAATATACTTGAACAGTCATTTGAGTCTTAAATGTTAATGCTCTGTCAGAAAGAAAAACTGATGTCTTTGCTTTTCATGTATACCTGGAATGAAAACCATTTTCTTCTTCTTTTTCATAGGTCTTATTTCGTCTTAACTTCCTGGTAGTGGTGTTATGTATAGTAATGGACCGGCCTTATCAATTCTATTACTTTGTCCCCTTGGTCACTGTGTGGTTCATTGTCATATATGTTACTTTAGCACTCTGGCCTCAAATAATCCAAAAAAAAGCAAATGGTAAATATACTTTCTTACTAATGTTAATAAATACATTGTTTTAGTTGCTAAAGGCTATCTTTCTATTGAAATGTGTAGACAGTTTAAATTTGCATATAGTTTTGATATTTTAAACTATATTTCTAAAAAGTTGCAAAGTAGCTCACTGCAGAAAATAATATGCAATATAATATAACACTGAGAATACTAGTTTACATTAATTATGTGTATGTTTTCCTGTAACAAAAATGCAACAGTTTTCATAGAGAGAGGAAAGCCAAATTTAGCTTCAGGGCCCACATCTACTTCAGTATTGGTGGCTCTGTTTTGCTAAGTGCTTACATATATAGCTATAGATAAATATAAAGAGAAAGAGAGATTTTGAGTAAACATTAATTTGCAAATATTTGACATTCGTATGTCAAACAGTTTGAAAGCACTAATCATTTATCTTCTAGACAACAATTTAAGCAGTTATTTTCAACCTGTTTTTCATATAAGGAACTCAAGTACACACACAAAAAAAAAAACCTGTCATTTTCAAATTTCCCATGGTCATATTCAAAGTAAGGCCGCAGTCATTTATCTTAATGCTTTTTTTTCCCCTTAAGATCATATTATTAAAATGAAAGCTTCCCCTTTGTTTAGAAAAATAAAGAATTTTATATTTTTAGATGTAATACATTTATATGTTTTAAAAGTATATTTGACTTTCAAGTAAATATTGTATATAAAAATATTTTTCCATTGCTTTCATTATAATATCAATAATTTTTCAGAAAAGAATTCCATTTTCCATTAAAAAGTTCATTAGTGCTGGGTGCTAGTGACTTACACCTATAATCCTAGCTACTCAGGAGGCAGAGATCAGGAAGATTGAGATTTAAAGCCAACCTGGGCAAATAGTTTTCAAGACCCCAACACAAAATAGGGCTGGGAGAGTGGATGAAGTGGTAGAGCCCCTGCCTAGCAAGCCTGAGGCCCTGAATTTTTCAAACTACAGAACTACAAAAAAAAAAAAAAAAAAAAGTACATTAGTGTCTTTGAACAGCCTCTATTGTGTACTTTTTCTGCACATACCTGGCCTATTAATCAAATAAATGATCTATATATAAACTTTGAACACATAATTTTAAATATGTATATGTTAAAATTTATAGTTAAATCCTAGTCCATTGGGGAACTTAAGCTGTCCTTGGAACTTTGATATTTAGGCAGTAGTAACATGACTTTCAGCATTACATTGAATATATTATTCCACGTTTTGTTGTAACTTTCAATAATGAATAGATATAATTAAATCCAAGAGGTATTTTTAAATATGTTTATAGTAGATGAGCAGCAGGTATATAAGCTATCAGTTACACATTGTAGCCTTATTCCTAGCAACACTCATTCCTTTTTTTCCCCTTTGTCATACTATAATTTATACCACCTAATATTTTGTGTATCCCTATATGCAACCTTAAATTATTTTGAGAACTAATCAGGGTGTAAAAATGTTAAACAGAGAGTACTTAATATGTTTTACAATGTGGCTTTATATTTCTTAGTAAATTGAATATTTTCTCTCTTAGGAAATTGTTTCTGGCATTTTGGCTTACTGCTGAAACTAGCCTTTTTGCTGTTATGCATATGTTTTTTGGCATATTCTCAGGTTTGTATAGTCTTTTCAGTTTATGTTTTGTAACGTTTTATTTTAAAGTTCAAGTCTATTAAAGTATGTGAGAAGAGTCAGAGCTTTTTTTTTCCTAGCTTCATTTTTTAATGACTGTAATAAAAGTGTCATTCTGTAGTTGCCTTCTCAGTGTAGTTCTTTTGAGACCTATCTACTTTTGTTACCACTGTTTTTGTTGTAAGAGCAATTTAAAGCTCTTCTTCTGGCAATTGTTCCAGATCCATTTTACTTGACTTTGATCAATCAAACGTTTATTGAATGCCTCTTATAAGACACTACTCTAAGTGGAAATCAAAATTCTCTTGACAGAATTTGCAACTTGGTTAGTGCATTATTCATTGCATCAAACTATTACTTGATTTTTCCATAACTGCATAGAGTAAAATTTTGGCAGCTAGTAAAATGAATGTAGGTGCAAAGGGTTTGTGTGTGTCATTTATTTAATTCAAGGAAACTTTTGGTCATTTTCCTAGTTCTGACCTTTTATCCTCCCATTTTGATGGTCAGTATTTTATGTTGTTTTAGCAGGGTGTCAATCTGTGTGCTGGTTAAATCTATCAGGCAGACATTTTACTTAGGTAGCATGATATTTAGAATAAAATATTTTAATTTGAATGCATATAGTTTTGACATATTCTACAGTTTACTTGCATCTCCAGTACACTGTTTTGTACCAGACTGTGTCAGGTATAAATGCCCTGTAGGTTTTTTTGTGTGTATGTATAATTCTGCAAAGCTGTTTAAGGGAGGGTTTTTTTTTTGTAGGCCTTTATACTTATTTTCATGCTTACAAGTCTTTAAACCACTTCTATTTCTGCATGACATCAGAGGTTTTTTTATAGGAGACAAAATAATAAGGAAACAGCAGGCAAATATATAAAAAAATAGTTAGGTAACGGCAACAACTACTTGACAGTTGTTCATTAAAATTCCCAACACTCTGTGAGCACTTCTGAGAGAAAGAAAGGAAGCTGACCAGAGATTCAATAGACAGAATAAGAGGTTCCTCCAGCTTTGGGTCAGCATTGACCCCTGGAGACACAGAAAAAGAGTACACAGCCCAGTGCAGTGCTCAGTGAAACTTGTTCATTGATCACATAAGAAATGAATTGTAATTCAAAATAAAAGATTAAGTTATAAATACATCTGTTATGTCACAGACATGCTACATATATATGATCAATAAGATACTATATCTATATTTAATATTTACTACATTCTGTATCTATATTCAGATCTATATACATATAGATCTGAGCACTTTAGATTGCAGCTTTTAGTAAGAATCATTTTTAATTTTCTAAGGCATAGATTTTGATACAAGCTGTTTTTAATTTGCTCTGTGCATTTTAAATTTTGTGGTTAAATGGTGACTATTGTGTTTCGTTAAAGTAACAAAGTTCTTCTGACCTAAGGATTCATTCAGCATTACCTAAAATACTATTTTCACAGTTTTTTTTTTAACTGTTTAAAAGATCATGATTTTTTTGTTGTTGTTGTTATGCTGCGGCATTAGGTCCAATAATGGAGCTTTCCTTAATAGAGTTTGTCGTCATTCTTTGGTCTGGAAATGGAGGTTTTTGTCCTCTTCTTTGAAAGACTTCATTAATGTGCAGGAATGTTCCCAAGACTTCTGCCCCTTCATTCTCAGATTTTCCAGGCTGTCAGATTCATAAGAGGGTACCATTCTCTAACTTGACCAGATTAAAATTGTAAACTTTGTTTCAAAGCCTAATAATGGCATTTGAGTCTGTTTGATTAAGGTGACTAATTCAGAGGACTTGTTTAACTCTCATAGCTAATTACATATTATTAAGAACATTCAGAGAAAGAAAAACTGTATCATAACCTTAATAATCATTCTTTAGGATATTTATACCATATTGGCCGAAGTAGTTTGTATTTTTATGTATGATTACTAAATATTAACTGTTTACATACTAGAGTAGAAATCATAAATAGAATGATTTTCCAGCTACTATGTTGTTAAAATTTTTTTATAGTCTTAGTAGCTTTCATATGAAATGTAAGTTTCAAAAGCTTTAAGTCATCTTTTTTGCTCATTGGTAAAAATAATTTTATTTTAAAAGGAATTTCAATTGAAATCATATTTTCAAGTGAAATGAATAGTTTAAAAATTGAGAGGCTTTTATATAATCATAACTTTAGAAAAGTACACTTTCCAGCAGAATTGCAAAGCAAATGTCTTGTATCCTAACTTAATTTTTCTGGATTCCTTTTTTGTCAGGGTGCATTTGAGAAGATCTTTTCTCTTTGGCCGTTGTCCAAGTGTTTTGAACTGAAAGGAAATGTATATGAATGGTGGTTCAGATGGAGGTTAGACCGTTACGTATGTATTTACTTTGTGATGTTTTACCATTTGAAATTATATTGTTAGAAAATGATTGGGAGACTTTAATGTGTTTTTATTTAGCTTAAGAATAAGGAAACATTGATCTAGTAAGTCATTAACAGTCCTTCACCTCCTTTTTCTTTACAGCAGGAAAAGAGTATGCATGTATACACTTATCAACAAGAAAATACTACAAAAATGTTGTCTATAAAGTAGCCTTTGTCTGAGTTACAATTTTAACTTATAGGTGGTCCATATATATGTGCTTCAGCCTTTCAGAACAATATTTATTGAATCCTAATATGTGCCCTAGATGTTGGTGTTGTGAAGTATATATTAGAGAAAGAAAACATACCAACAGGCTTCTAAGGCTTTGTGATTTAGTCTTAAAACCTAAGATTACTACTTATAATGGAGTGCTGCACCATGCAATGTGGATTTTGTGACAGAAGTATTCAAAGAAGAAACTGCAATGTATTTGATTATTCCATGAACTTAATCTTAAAAGATGGTTAAGGTTCACTTGGCTGAGAATGTAAAACACCTAGCAGAGTATTTAGAGAATAGTAGACACTAATTAAGTGCTAATTACTTCACTCATCTTTTCTTGCCATCTGTGACCGATTTTTCCTTTCTGCAAATGTTTTCTTAGTGCCTGTTCTGTGACATTACTGATTTCCAGTGCCTTTGCACTTTCCATTGCACTTTATTGCTTCTAATGCGTATAAGAATAAAAGATCTTGCTGAAGTCTCATAGCAGTCTACTATAATATGCTTGTTGATCTGTATGGGTTGCTTTAGTACGATACCATAGATGCGTGTGACTGGGAAATCCAAGCTCAGGTGCTGGCAGATTTGGTGTTTGTTGAGGACTTATATCTTTGTTCATAGACAGCCATATTCTCACTGTGTTCTTATGTGGTGAAGGGACAAGAGAGCTGTCTGGAATCTCATGCAAGGGTACTAATCCCATCATAAAGGTTCTACTTTCATGACCTTATCACTTCCCGGATGATGCCTTGTCTCCAAAACTGTCACATTAGAGATTAGGTTTCAGCATATGAGTTTTTTGCAGGGATCAATACAAATAGTCTGTTGTAATGATAATTCATATCAAGTCTATTTATTTATTCTTTGTTTTAAAAAGAAAGAAAGTTTGTGTGCTTTCTGCTCTACCATACTATTTTTCATTTTTATATATATATTCCCCTTTTTAAAAGTGTGAACTGGTGGTAGTGTTGGTTTTATTTGGCTGAAAGTATCAATGTAAAATGTGTTCTGTAGTTGAGTGCGTGTAAGTTTTGCCGTGTGTCTTTAGGAGAGTTTCTGTTTTTAAGTTGCTGGGAGTGGGGTGTAGACTGAGGAGGGCAAGGCATGTGCTTAGCATGCCCAAGGCCCTGGCTGCACTCCCCAGCACCAGGGAAAGAAATGAGTGCTTTCTGTTGCTTGCCACTGGGCTGCTAATGATGAACCAGTTTTATCTCATGCCATCAGGAGAGACACTCCCTTGTCTGTTGCTTATTATGGTTTCTAACAATCACTAGCTTTATTTTATTATTTGAAGTTCTACTCTATAAGTGTGTTGTTCATAGAAACTCAAGTTTAAGTTCTTCATAGGAACTCTAAACCTTTAAATTTTTAAACCTACTTACTTTTATTAATATAGTCTTCATTAACCAAATATTTTGCTAGTTTCTGAAAAGTCACTTTAAAACAAATTTTCTCTATTTTTACAGGTAGTCTTTCATGGAATGCTGTTTGCATTTATTTATCTGGCTTTGCAGAAGCGCCAAGTACTTTCTGAAGGAAAGGGTGAACCTCTTTTCTCAAACAAGATTTCAAACTTCCTTTTGTTTATTTCAGTAGTTTCTTTCTTGGTAAGTTTTGAAATATAACCTAATTTTCCAAAATCTTAAATGGTATAGAAAGTTAACTTTAAGATAAAGGAATGTAATCAAATATTTTTAGTAAATGTCTTTACTTTTTAAATTCTTTTCTAACTGGAAATAAATTCTAAAGAGAATGCATAAAAGTTAAATATGAAGAATAACTAAGAGTTTAGTGAAATAGGAATTTTAAAGGATGTAATCCAATTTGGAAAAAAATATAAGATGTTTAATGTGAAAAGATATCACTACCTCATGATCACTGTTTCCAGAAAAGCATAAATCTCTGTTGGTGTCTCTCTCTCATTTCATATTTGGAAATGAATCAGACTAAAACAAGTGATGAATAAACCTGCAATTTTTCTGTTGCTTTTTTATATAGTGCCATAGACTATAATGTTGTAAATAAAACTATGAAAGATGTGAGAACTATTCCTGCTGAAGTCTAACCTTTTTGTTAACTGATGTGTACTTTTTTTCTTCTAGACCTATTCCATCTGGGCTAGCAGTTGTAAAAACAAAGCAGAGTGTAATGAACTCCACCCATCTGTTTCTGTGGTACAGGTAGTTATCTTTTTCTTCTTTTTTTTTTTTTTTTTTTTTTTTTTTGAGATAGGGGCTTGCTGCATAGCACAAGCTGATCTTGAACTGACAATCCTCCTTTCTTAGCCTCTGAGTGCTGGGCTACCATACTTAGCTCCAGGTAATTGTCTTGACTTACAGAAATTTTTTTGACAAGAACAAGATCTTCAGGAGCGAAGAGATTTGAGTTTAAACTGCAGAAAACATACGGAAGTTATTTAATTTTCTAGGCCCTCTTTCCTCTATAATAATAGAGACACTAAGATCTCTCTCTCAAAGGGTTATTATGTTAAATGTTTGGAAATGGTCTAACTCAGTATTTGTCACTTAGAAAATGTTAATTCCTGTCACATATTTGTTTTTCATCATTTGTTCAAATTTCATTATTTAATTTAATTATAGTTATCAGTTATCTACTGTGTGTTAAGTACCATACTAGATATGAGGCTCAAGGTTAAACAAGATATGGCTCTTGTTCTCGAGAAACTTAACAAAAGTGGCAATATGAATCAATAATTATTTGTTACCTAACCGAATTTTGATACTTAATCCATTTCAGGTATTCCAGTGGAAACCAAATCAGGTGTAGTTCCTGCCCTCGTGGAGCCTACATTTTTCTCTTACAGATAGTAATCATAAATAAAGAATATAATGCTATCATAGAATATAATAAGAGAGGGTATATAACCTACCTGGAGTTGAAGGGAAGGTGAGCAGCATTAAGGATGGTTTCCCTGAGAAAATTAAACTGAGAATGCAGGGATAAAGTCTCAGTGGGCAGCAAGAACTTAGGTTCTATGGTGGAAGGGAGCATTGTATATCCAAGGAACTTAAGAAGATCATGGGGCTGGAGATCGGCCAGATCTAGAGCAGTGTGTGGTAATGGTTGAGAGGTGGGCAGAGGCTGGGGACAGCTCAAGTCAGATTTACATTTTGCAGATGGTTGCAGATAATCAGAGGACATTGTGAGTGGATGGTTAAGTACAGATGGCTTAGGAAACATGTGGGAGTTCTTCCCAACTATCTTGATATCAGAGCAAGGTTCTTGGGGAAGTTGTGTTTCAGTTAAAGTCTAAAAGTTGAGTAGCCCAGCTAGAAGTGTGATGCAAGTGGTTGAGCACCTGCTTTGCAAGTGTTCAAACCCCAGGACAACAAAAAGAAAAAAGATGAGTAGCCCAGCCAAGAGTAAGGAGAGTTTCTTAGCTCTTCTCTTCAATTCAGGGACTTTTTTTTTTTTGGTGTTACTGGGGTTTTGAAGGGCTTCAAGGAGCTCTACTGCTGGAATAACACCTCCAAGCTCTTTTTGCTCTGGTTATTTTCGAGATAAGGGCTTACTTTTTGCTCAGGCCAGCCTGGACCACAATCCTTCTATTTTGCACTTCCTGCCTGGGATGAGAGCCGTGTACCACCATGCCCATCTTTTTTCTGTTGAGATGAGGTTTTATGAATTTTTGTGCCTGGATTGACCTGGAACTGCAAATCCCCATCTTTCAGCCTTCTGTGTAGATAGGATGATAGCACACACCCCACACTGAGCTGTTGTGGGTCTAATGAACTTTTTGCCTGGACTGGCCTTGAACTGTGATCCTCCTGATCTCAGCCTCCCAAGTAGCTAGGATTATAGGTGTGAGCCACTGGTACCTAGTTTATTTTATTTCTTTTAGACCTCTATTTACTCAGTATTGCCAAGCAGGTGAGAGATGCCCCAAACATAATAAATAATGAAATTTTAAACTTTACGCCATATTCATACAGTATTTTCACGACTTCTGTAGACAGTAGTGGTACCTACTTATATCAGATATCACTTTGCGACTCACAGGATGAGAGGGGACATCACTCACATTGCGCCAATACACAGGAGTCTAAGGGAGCAGAGAGTAGCAACATATAGAATAACACCAACATAACGGTCCTGAGGCTTATGACTTGCCTTCCCAGCCACCAGCCTCCACATACTCATATTTGCAGTTAATTTTGTTGTGAGGGCCTCAGCCTTTGCATTGCAGAGTAAAAGAGTAGATGGGAGCACAGAGTGAACCAAGCATTAGTTTTATTGGCTATGACTCTTCAACATTTGTCTCACATTGTAAAAGTCACGAGGATCCAGATAGCTTCAGATGCCATATCCTGACCCATTTCACCCTTATTCATAGATGTGAACAGAAAGAGATATACGCTTGTATGTGTGTGTGAGAGAGTGTGTATGTGTATGAAAGAGATGAGAGAGAGAGATCGTAGAGTGTTTATCTGAGGAAGCTCCTTTAGGATTTCAAACATGTACAGTAATCCTAGTGTTTTATTGGAAAGTATTTCCCAGCCTAGCCGAATCAGAAGACTTATGATCAGTCTTTGAATTCTCACCTTTCGGTTTTGCCGGTCTGGATGGAAATTTCCAGAAGTACTTTGCTATAGAACAGGTGATTAGGACAGTACCCAGCAAGTTATAAATGCCGTTCAAATTTTAAACATCATTATATATCTATTTGAAGCTAGTAAGAATAATTCCTCAGACCTCAACTGTGTTCTCCATGGTTGTTTCTTTGATTTTCTCCTCCCCAATCACATTGTTTACTAAGTGTATGTCAAAACACAAGACTTGAATATGTTCAAGAGAGAAAGAAGGAGAGTGATTTGCTTGGGACTGTTCCCAGATTTTCTTTTGCTTAGGCTATTTGGTATGTATATGTATTTTACATTGTAGCTGGTGTAATATTTTAATTATAATAAAACTATTAAAGGCTTTATTTAGGCCTTACATTCATGGTTTTTACTACTGAATGTAGATCACATATATTATTAATTACCTAATATGCTTTTAATGAATTCTAATAGCTATAATATTTAAATATGTAATTATATATTTAAATATATAATTAAAATATGTTATATATCTAAATATATAATTATTATAATTATATGTTATTATCAGAATATATAATTATATAATACAATATGTATTATATTAATATGTAACAGACACTTCATATATGTTTTCTCATTTAATGTTCACATCCACATTTCAAAATTAAGCTTTTCTCCATTCATATAGATGCAAAAACAAATCCAAAAGATTAAGTGCCTTTTGTCTCAAAACTAATGCAAACAAAAGGCATAATTCCAATTTGAGTGTTTGGTCCATGAGAATCACTCATTTGAATCAGACCTGAGAAGTTCACTTTGGTACCTTTTTCCCAGTGTTAGAGTTATCCGCCTCTCTCCTCTATTTCCTAACCTTCTATGCATCCCAGAGATTTTCTAGAGCCTTTGACAGAGACCCTGAACCAAATATGGAGTTTTCCTCTGAAATGTAAATAGGTTTTCTAAACCTTTTATAAGAAAAAAAGTTTTGAAAGGTAGTTGTGAAAGTGAAAACTCCTTTTTTCTTTACAATTTCTTGCTGTTTTTAAGGAGGGTGAATTCTAGGATAAGTTCTTTGCTTAATAAAGTAAGTACTGGACGGATGTGAGACTATAAATTGAAAGTTTAGAAAATGTAAAATTGCTCTACCTGATACAAAAAGATTTGAGGGGCGAAGACTAAGATCCCAAAAGCTGGAGAGTGAGTGCAGTTCAAGATATAATCTTCCAGACCACACAAAGCGTACATGAAGACATTTATGGTCCTGCCATTTCTGATGCCAACATGACTTTCAGTGGAAGGAGGATTGCATTAAACAGGTTTCCATTGCTGTTACAGAATACCTGAGAAACACAATTTAAGGGTGGAAATATTTGTTTTGGCTCATGGTTTTAAAGGATGTAGTCCATGATCGCATGGCTCATTTGTCTTTGGGCTATGGTAAGGCAGAACATCAAGACAGGGAGCAAGTTAGTAGAGCAGAGTTACGTACAGAGAGAGAGAGAGAGAGGGAGAAAGGATTTTGAGGACAATAAGCAGAGTGACTGCCAGTCAGGCACATACATTATGGAAATAGCAAAAGTATATCATGGAATTTAAGGAAGTTCTGCCTCACAAATATGATACTAGTTTTTTTTACACAAAGGGCATCAGGCAGGTTTGTGTTTTCTGCAGTCTACAACTGTTCAGCCTTGCATTCCTTCAGACCTGCCTTGGTATATAATATGCAATACCATATGTTAAGAAATCCAGTTTGGCTAGACTCTAAACAACAACAAATCTTTACCAGTGCTTTAATTTTTAAAAACTTGTATATGTGTCAAGTTAAAAATACATAGGTTGAAGTTGCCACTTAAAGCTTCATATAAAATACTTTTAAATAAGTATGTTAATAATATTTACCTTTATGGTTTTTCCTCAGATTTTAGCCTTTATTCTAATAAGGAACATCCCTGGATATGCCCGTTCAGTTTACAGTTCCTTTTTTGCTTGGTTTGGAAAAATTTCCTTAGAGGTTGGTACATTAATATTTTGCTTTATCATACACAGTAAGGTTGTGTTTGTGTGTGTTCGTGTACATCTGCACATGTACATATATGTGGGTATGTAAATCTGACATATACTTTTTGAAGCCAGAGCTATTTTATGTAGGAAAATAGGCAAAAAACTCATAATTTTCAATAACAGTAAAATATTTTAGAAGTTTTTAAAGCCTAATTTAAAAATGACTAAATGTAGATGTCCTTCAAAACATTCTTCACATTGTCTTAAGTTTTGACACAACCAAATGCCGAGATCAGAAGAGAAAAAAATATTAGACCAGATATAAATGAAATCAAGCTAGAAGGATCTTGATTTGTTGATCTTCTCCATAAATAAGCATTATATTACTGGAATTTGATTAGTGATGCTTATCATAATAAAATTCACCTTTAATAATTGGATATTATGGGAAAATATTTAAACTCATTACATTTTGTATGAGCTACTTAATATGAAAATATCTACAAAATCACTTTGAACAGGTTTTGAAGTACAGTTTATACAGTGTGCACTTTACTATTTGAAACAGAATGTTTTAAAGCATAATCATACAATTTAGAGTGTAAGATTTACCTTAAGATAGAGACAATAAGTTTCTCTTTGAGTTCTTGTGTCAATGTTGTGTTCTGTCATTGGGTGCATAAGAAATTGTATGGAGCTAGGAGTCGTGAATAGTAGACTCTGTAGTAACTTTCAGAGCCAATAGTGGGCAGAATCAAATGGTTTCTGAAAAGTCTTCTAGTGTTCCTGTGCTGTTGAGTCCTTAAATTAGGAAAAACTGTTACTTATTCATGTACTGTCTATGTGTCTAATTTTAACTTTTTTTTCTCTCCTAGCTGTTCATTTGCCAATATCACATATGGCTGGCAGCAGATACAAGGGGAATCTTGGTACTCATACCCGGAAACCCTGTGCTCAACATCATTGTCAGCACTTTCATCTTTGTTTGTGTGGCACATGAAATTTCTCAGATCACTAATGATCTTGCCACTATTATTATTCCTAAAGATAACTCATCTCTCTTGAAAAGATTGGCATGTATAGCCGCATTTTTTTGTGGACTACTCATCTTATCATCCATTCAAGATAAATCAAGACATTAGGCTCCTAAAATCCTAAAAAGCTTACATTCTTCAGGCTTACTTTGTGTCTGCCTAAAGGAGAGAACATCTATGAAGAGATACAGTGTCTATGTAAATACAAGCGTGTGTCAAAAGGACAGTTTAGTAATGTCTATTGAACGTGTGTGGTTCTGTGTATAGGTAATATACATACCCCATGTGAAATACTGAAAAAAAATGCATCATACAGGATTGCATGTGAAAAGTCTTTTCTACCGGGTCTGTTTCCATTTATAAATGATTCTGAGTTAACATATGAAGGCAGGGAAATGATTAGCTTTCCAATAAAAAGGATAGATAATTTAATTAGCTTAGTGACACCACTGAGTATTTTAATATTTACTAAATTTGTGGTAATAAGACTGTACCTGTACTCATTGTGGAACTTCCTACTTCATTGAAAATTTTTTATTCAAAATGACTTGCAGTATTGTCTTCTTCTTGTATGTGCAATGATGTGGAGTGATAAACAGTATATCTTTAATTTATATGTTTTCATGTTCTGGTGTTACATGTTACCTAACTTGATTTTTCTCCTAACTCTGGTTTTCGGGTATGTAAGTCTCAATCTTTGTACACTTTGTCTGTCACAGAGTTGTTCTAAGGCTCCACGACAGGGTTTTGTCATAGTTGATAATGTCATTGCTTCTTTTTATAAAAATGCCAAACATCCATCTGTTTGTTTTCCTTAAGCTATATACCAGTGTAAAACCAGTTACCCTGTGGATAATATGTTTTCTCCCCATGAATTAATTTTTATATATTATTTCCAATGTTTGGAAAGCTCTTTTTAGCCATTTTGGTATTTCCTATTATCCCCTTCTGTTTTAAAAAATATATATTTATCAATCTAGACATGCAGTGTAGTAAAGATTCAAGTCGTTTTGACTGAGATGTATGATAGTGTAGAATTTAAAGTAAATTGGTGACTTTGGGCAATAAATGTTTTTGTTTTTAAATAAGCTAACTGTTAGAGGTATACATTTATTTATCTGTTGTACAGATTTGATTATGGTTTTTAATGTTTGAAAGATTGCACTTATTTGCTTTTACTATGTGTGAGGTAAAATATATTTTCTGTTCACAACATGTGAAAATATGAAATAATTTAAGCAGTAAATAAACATTCTGTGGATGCTTATTTTTGTATTGGCAAAGCGTCAGTTAAACTGTGTGTTCTTTAAAAAAAATTGAATCCATTGATGATTGATTCAGATTTCTAATCCATTTCCTTAATTTAAATTTGTTTTATCAAACTGTTAGTTCCATTAACTGAAGAATGTTGCTTGTTCAGAATTGTGTGTTCCTTCCTTTTCTCTCTTCTTCTGTCCTTACTTAATCCTTTGACATTTCCCGGATAGACAATTGTAATGATTCATTGCTCTGCCTCCTAGACTGCAGCCATATAAGTAGAGAACAGTATGGTTATAAATCAAAAACTTCCAGGTACTGTGATCACATTATTCTTGCTCATGTAACTTGCCAGTGAGTCGAATGCATTTTAATTTAGCTTGTATGTTTCATCACCTGAGAAAGATTTTCCCTGATGAAACAATTGAAAAAGAAAGATGATCAGCAGCTCTCTGTGTTTTGGAGGTATGTATACCTTCAGAAGTGATGCCCAAATGAATATGTATTTTTCTCTCATATTTGAACTCAAGCCTAAAACTTAACTGGTAAGCCCCATTTTTTATTACATGTTCCTATTTAATATGCCAAACTTTTTTTTAAGTCACAACTATATATAAAAATGCAAATACATTATATCTGTACTTGATTTTGTTTATGAGACTTTATGGATAAGAGGTTATTGTGGAAGTTGCCACAATGACAGTACTTGTATGGTAAATGTCTTAGTTTTTTTGTCTGCATCGATGCAGATATTGACCAGTACCTTTACTCAGTCACATGATTCTTCAGAGTAAAGAAGGAGGTTTAACAGATTCTGTATGTTAAAATTAAAATGAAACCACAGCTCTCTAAACTCAGATTTTCTATAATGGAAATCACATTCAGAAATAAACCATTTGGCTCCAGAAGTATTTTCTTGATCCAATTCTGCCAATATTCCCTGTTTCCTCTGCAAAACCTTCATATTTCTGTAGATAGCCAAAGAGGTATTAAAAATTCACCCTATACCTAAAACCATTGTTGCACCTGTGAATGAGATCATATTATTTGTTTTAGGTACTAATATTAAAATAATATTGACATCCTACTATTCTATTGTAAGATAAGTTAACCATTAAGTTTTTTTAAATGGGTGAATTTTTCCTCCAAATAGCCTTTATTATTTTTTAAGTGTTAACATGGGAAGCTTTTAAGTTTAATAAAGTTAACTTTAATGATAATAAGCATATAATTATTTTTAAACTGGATTGTAAACCATAAAGATGGATGGGCAGAGAAACAGACAGGTAGATACCACAAGACCAAAAGCACCACCTTCCTCTAATAGACACTACATGAAATCTGCTATATCAAAGAATGTTTGCAGTTTCTAGGAGAATGCTCCTTTCTCTTTAAATTTGGATTATTACCTAGTAAGCCTTGGGAGAACCCAGTTTGGTTTTTATGTTGAACAATATTAAATATGGTATCCATTTTTGACCTACAAAATGGCAGTTTCATGTGGTACAACCTAATAGCTTTACTTGCTAGAAAAAAAGTAAGTTGCTAAAGAGTTAGCAATGACCATCATTCCAAAATTGTAAATTTTAAATTTGGTCATATTTAGGGTAGTTTTTTAAGATTGATGATATCCTAAAAATTCCTTTTTTTTTTTTTTTTGGTACTGGAACTTGAACTCAGGGCCTGCACCTTGAGCCACTCCACCAGCCCTTTTTTGTCATGGGTTTTTTTGAGGTAGGGTCTTTGTGGCTTCGAACCACGATGCTGCTGATTTCTGCCTCCTGAGTAGCTATACACCCGGCCAGTTTTTAAATATATATTTGTCTTTTAACAAAATTTCTTCTATTATCTTGTATGAGAGGAATCAGAAATCTAAAATTTCCTTAAAGGTAGATCTATAAAGTATATAAGCTATAAATACTTAAAAGGTTAAATAGAAATAGTTTGCTTACATCTTATTTATAACAATTTTTAAAATACCATTCTAAAATATAAAAATGGGATAAATCAACATTTTTAAAGGAAATTTACAATTACCTAGAAGTGTTTCTATTATGTGTAGGGAAAAAACTTCATCTTGAAGGTAATTAATTTTTTTAACTATTTGTATTGGCTTTTACATTAGTGATAATCTACTCACACTTAAAACACATTTGAGAGAATTTTCTAATAGTGAGAATTTGTTTAAAAATGTATTCTCAAAATACAAGATTTTTTTAAATCTAGAGTTGTCACAGATGGATTAACTCTTTAAATCTCCATTGAGAATAACAGAGTAAGATCTTACCTGATGATCCAAAATCTCCACATCATTATCCATCTTGTCTTAAAATGAATTCCAGCTCTCCAAATCCCATGCTGTTCTTTCCCCCTTATTCCTTTGTGCCCACTCTTTGCATCTGTGTGAATCTATTTTTTAAAGTTGAATTTAAAGTTAATCTCTGTGAAACCAAATACTTTAAATATCTTTTTTAAAACTATTCAAACATTAATCATTTGGTCCCCTTATTGTCATATTTCCCATTCATTCAGCAAAATTGCAACTTCCAGTATAAAGATGGTACCTTAGGGATATAGTAAGGTGTTGAGCACAAAGTAGATTCAGGAAACCTTGACCATCAACCAAGAAGTTCTGTCTTTATTTTTCCCATCTTAAAAATTGAATTCCTCTTTGCCTTTGTGCTTTCAAAGCTACTGCCTCATTTATCTTCTCTTACAACCCAAACTGCTCTTGTCAAGCTCGTGGAGAACCTCAATATTGCTATCTCCAACAATCATTCTCAGCTATCATCCTCTTTGACCTAAGAGCAGCCTTTAACACAGTTGGTGTACTACCTCTCTTTTCAGCTGTTTTCTTTACCTCACCTCTGTGACATTAGCATTTTTGTTTTCTTCCCAACTCAGTAGCCATTCCTTCAGTCTCATGTGGGTCCTCTTCACACCCTCAGTCTCTAAATTGCAATTCCCAAACATCACCTCTATCCTGAGGACTACCAAATTTGTACTTATTCTGAACCTCTCCCTAAAACTCAGATCCACCTGCCCACTTTAATCCATTTGAATTTTGAGTGATATCTCCTATTTAAGTCTAAAACAAAACCCCTAAGTGTACTATTACTGGCCACACAAAGACAGACCAAAATAAGCTCCCATAATCTTTCCCGTCTTAGCAAATGGCAACTACATTGTTCACATGAAAACTGAGCCTGATTTCATATACCCTATGTTACATAGCTTAGTAAATCTTGTCAGCTTCCTTCCCAAGATGTTCATAAATCAGCTACTTTTCATCAGCTCCAATGGGATCTCTCTGTTTCAAAATAGCATCAATTATCTCCTTGATTATTGTCCACAGTCTGACATACTTAACCTGTCACTTGTCTGGTTTTTTATTTTCCATTTCTCATAGAATGTATGTTTCTGAGGACAGGAATTTCTAGTTTTACTGGCTTTGGTATCTCAGGCTGCTGTAACAGTATTTCTCTGACTAATAATTTGCTGAGTTGATGAATCAATTCTGCAAAATCAATTGAGGACTAGCCCTATTTCTGAGGTAGGTAGGCAGACTTGCAAATGATGAGGCAGTTGAGAAAATACCTTTCCTTAGGGATAGGGACAAAAGGCTAAAGATATTTTTGGTTTTAGGATGTTGATTTCCAGTGTCATTAAAAAAAAAGAAAACATCTAACCCACTTACACAGTGAAGTAAATAGTGAGTCTGCAGCAGGTGAAGTCTCTACTCCCAGGTGGTAAGTACCATAATTGATCATCAGTTACATCTCAGACAGAACACAACTCTTACCAGGGGTTCTATGTTCCGTAGATCCTCACTTTATCCTGCGGTCAAATATCAATTACCTTTTGTTACTATACTTCACTATTGGTTTTCTTATAGTCATGAATTATTTCTTTGAACTCCAGTATCAAAAGTAGGAAAGTGAAAAGGTAGCCAAGAAAATCATGTATTTAAAAAGGAGAGAAAGATTGCAATGTTTTGGGGGTTTTTTTTGTATATGAAAGTAAAAAACACCCCTCTATGTGCAACAGGAAAAATGTGACTGTCAAAAGAGCACCACTTGAAAGACCGTTATGAAATAAATTATACTAAAACTAGGATTAGTACATAGAAATGTATGTGTGAATGCCAGTATAGATAAAAACAGATTAATGGATTTAATAAAAGTCTGAAATTTCAACAAGATTTTATTCAAATGAAAAATTTTAAGTTCCACAATAAGGCTGTGGAAAATTGCATGAAAACATTTTACACATTGTGACTGTAGCAGAAATTTCATACCAAAAAGAAAGAAGCTTTTGAAAACATAAGGCTAAGTGAAAAAACTTCTCCCTCAACATATCAAGATATGGCTAAGAACTTACAGAAAAAAGTTTGTGAAAAGTATAGCTGGTATTATTTCCTATTATAATTGATGAGTCTAGATGCCAACAATGCTAGCTGTTTATGTATTTGTTTTCAGTGAGAATTCTAATGTAACCAAGTGACTCAAAAACATACTGATATCAGATTCATTATGAAGAGATGATTAATGGATTGGCTTGATAAAATTTTCAGATTTTATATAGGTTAATATTAAGAAAGTTAATAGTGTGATAAGTCTGTTGTGATGGTGGACTTTATAATGGATGTATAAAGTGAAATTAAAATCTGATATTTTGCAAAGACATGGAATATAAATTCATTTATTATTCCATAAGAAATACTCATTGGTACCAAACTGGATGTTTTCCATTGGCTTGTAGTACAGACAATGTGACATATATCACAATGTGACATGTATATGTATGTGTTTATATGTATATCGTGGGTAGGGGGGGTTGTGGTGGAGAGTGGTTACTGACGTTTGAACTCAGGGCCTCATGCTTGCTAGGCAGGCTCTCTACCATTGAAGCCACACCCTCAGTCCTTATTGCTTC